TTTTCATTTTTTTAATTTAGTACAGAAGTAGTTATATAGTAAATAAATACACGAACTTCGACGAAATTGATTTTTCAGTCTATTATACTGTTTTTTTTTTAGTTTATTATACTGTTTTTTTTTAGTTACAATGTGGAAAAATTACTTTTATTTTGTTAACTTAAGTGAGAATCTCTCACCGAATGTTGCGATTCTGTGTTCAGGATTATTCGAATAATCTGAAGTTTACTATCGGTAAACATTGTTTGATTTTGTGTAGTAATCCATGATGCCAAACTTTATCGAAAGGCAGACTGGAACAAGAACTATAACTTTTGTATACATAAGATCAATATTGCTGCAAAGTTTTATTATAGTATACGCACCACCCACATTTTTTCCTCAGTTATTGCTTTCACAAAATTTAAAAATAAATAAGTTCTTGGTAAAATATAAGATTCTTATAATAAATGAAATTATTTTTCGAACACATTTGTTTTGTTTATTTAGACACTTTATGACACTCAACGAGTTTTCATCAATTTTTTCTCACAAAATATGCTCCATTATTATCGGCAATTTTTCGCCATTGTTCGGGGTGAATCATGATACTATCGGTAAAGAACTTATATGGTTTCTTGTTGAAAAACTGAATCAAGTGCTTTTTACAAACTTTTTGAAATCATTTTAATTCTATTAAGATAGTTCTGCAGAGATTGGAACAAGTGTTAGTCACAGGTTGCTATGTCTGGACTATACGGTATAAAAAATCAATCTTCAACTAGGCTTAATTTTGTAGCCAACTTTATATAATTGGTTCAGAACAGTTTTCTGGTCAATGGATGGTTCTATATCAATGTCGACATGCTTATATACTTACCTTGCAGGATTTTTTTTTTCAGAATTTCATCAACTTCTTCACTGATTGGAGCATGGCACATGCTTCACATCAAAATTACCAGAACGAAAGCGCGTGAAACATTTCAGAGCAGTAGATTTTGACAAAGTTTCTTCACCTTAGACTCTAAGGCTTAGAGTATAATTTATTTTACAAGTCTGCTCAGTTTCTTTCTTTTTTTCTTTTATAATAATAATTTTCCAAAACTAACTTTTTATCCATTTTCTAACAAACGTTTACTGATGCCGCTGCGATTTGCACTTGCTGAATTATGAACGAACTTTTTTTTCACCTAATATATAATAAACAGGCAATCAAAACATTCAAATTTTTGGCAACAACAAAATCCAGCACAAATTAATCTTGGAAACCAGTTCCTTTCTGGCTTCAACCGCATTTTTTAACTTCCCGTAGGTTGTTATTCTACAAATCCAAAAATCGAAAAGAAAATTTTTGCATATCTTCACGTTTCAGGGGTTTCTCAACATTTTGAAAAAAAAATGTGTGTGTGTTGTATGTGTGCGTGTGTGTTTTGTGTGGGTACAATTTGGGCGACACGGGTCAACAGATTCCAAATATTTAAAAAACATTTGGTTCCTACTGATGGAGAGACGTTCTGATTAGGTTTTGGCAGAGACAGGTCTAGCCGTTTCGGTGATACGAAGCAAAGAGTGCGGAAAATAGATATCGAGTTTTTGAATGTGCGGAGCATGTGATTTGAGTGATTCAAAAAAACATTCAATTCGTAATGATAGGGAGAAGTGGTGATCAGTTTCTGGCAAAGTCAGGTCCAACCGTTTTGGAGATAAGGAGCTAAATGTGCAAAAATGGTAGTTTCTGAAAGAACGAAGATGAATAATTCAAAACGCCTTTTGCTTGTATTAACGAAACCATTGTTTTCGGGGAAAGCAAAAAAAAAACAATTATTTCATTTTTTTTTTATTTAAAAAAAAAAAAAAATTGAATGACGAAAATAATTCGGATTTTAATTTTAATTCTAGCTGAAATTCTAATGCTCACTTATATACTTGAAATATCACTTATAATTATATATTTGAAAACACTCAATATTTTTCCAGCAATTTGCTTTGAGGCACGATTTAATACACCACTAGTTCCATTTTAAAATAATAACAAATTGGTGCCAAAAATTACGTTTAAACTTTCTGTCGTTCATTTTATATATCGATCAAATGGAAATAAATTTCCTACATCTGGAGGCTTGCTTTGAAAGTTGCTCTAAAATTATGTTTATATACTCAGTCAAAATTTTATTTCCTTATGTTGAATTGCTCAAATCATTCAATTCAAGAAAACAATGCAAGTTATTATTTATCAAAAACATTTTTTTATCGTATACGTTGGTATTTCTTTTAATACAATAGCCTAGATAATGCTATTTCTGGCTTATCTCCATAAATAGTAGATATATTGATTTCTTTATCATTTTAATACTCTTAGAAAAATTGTATTTCTGGACTATAATATTGCGTACATATTACTTCAGCATACTGGTTCAATATTTCTCTTACTACATAACATACATATAACACTGATCCCAGCTGTGGGTTTTGAAAATAATTGAATTTTAAATTAGATTGTGATTCTTATTATCAACACAGACTTGAAATTAATCTACAGTAGAGGAAGGAAATAGAAAATTATAATCGCTTTTTAATATTATCTGGAATTAATTTTATATAGTAATTTGTATATAATAGAAATTACCCAATGAGGTAACTACGCTGTTTAATTAAGGCAAATTGCTGGTATTGACTTTTAGATAAAGCGCAATTCAATCAAAGTTTTGTATAAAAATAGCATGAAAAAATTTTGCAGAGCGTCGAATTTTCAATAAAAAATGACACGAATTTTCACTTTTAATTCATTTGTCGCTAAGATATACATAAAATTTTTTTTTTTTTAATTTTCAATTTTTTTTCATACTATTTCCATACGAAGTTTGATTGAATTGCGCACTATCTAAAAGTTAATATTAAGAGCTAAAATTTTCAGAGAATTGTTTTTTATCAATTTGGAACCATTTGAGTCTTTGGGAGCGTGGGCATTCGAAAATGTCCGTATTAAGGACCACCCTAATGTATATATATGGAGTACACCACATTTTTATTGTTCAATATTTAATATGAAGATTATTTAATGTATTTTAATTTTTTGAGTAAATAATATACTATATTTCTATTTATTCTAAAGACTACAATATAACAATGTAAATTTATTTATAGGTAACTATTTCAGTTATACATATTGAAATAAAGATATAAGTTAAACCAACTATTAATAAAAAAAAAATTGTTAAAAACAAATTTTCTATTTGAAAATTTAGAATATAAAGTTTTAAACTATTATTTAATATTTTATTTAAAATATGTTTTGATAATACGTTTTTCATAATTATAAAAAATAAAAAAAAGGTAAAGATAGAATAAGAATGTGTAAACCAAGGACATTAAATTATGCTTAAGAAATGTTTTGAAAGCTAAAATCAAAAGAAATATCTTCATTTACATTTTTCGGCTACATTAATTTTTCATTCTACAATTATCTAAATCTAAATTTATATTTTTTGATTCTTATTTTGTAGAAGCATATTAGAAAAAAAAAAAGATTTCACGCACTAGATTTGTGGGTCTAGTAAAATCTAGAAGAAACTTTGCTTGTTTCTTTCATATTATATATAATGTTTTTATATAGATATTTTATATCATTAATCATACTTTTTTATGTTTGTTGATATTTTAGATTTAACATTGTACTATTACTACATTGAAATAATTATTTTAGTGCTTATGACAATTTCAAAGCATTATTCCTTGAGTAAAATCACATTACATCTTTGCTCTATAATATTTGTATTGCATATAATAGATTTGTTATTTTTTATTTGTTAATTTGGTCAAATTTATCTGTAACTTAAATCGCAAACAATAAGTAAGATAAATTAATAAATCTTATCTTAGTTTAACATTTCTATAATAATCTCTGTTTATTAAATAAAGCTCTATCACAAAAAATAAACCAGAGGCTAATGTTGGTTAAAAGTTGTGCTACTAAAAGCATCCTAGTCCATGGTACTTCAATTAAGTCAGGAATTTTTATTATCATTATTTATGAGAGATATCGCTAAATTGAATACACTATTTATTTATAGAAAATTAGCACTGAAACGTTATTTTAGATCGCGAAAGAAGTAATCCAAACCATATCAATAAAATGAGAAAAAACACTATTTAGAATCAGTTTTTTAAATCTACAGTTATACAATTAAAAAAATTTAATATGCCTACTAGTATTGGTACTAGATCAACTAGAGATTTTATTTGTTGTAAATTAATAAATCATACTTATAAATTAAGGTTAAAAAGGTGCACCATCGATACTATTATATTTAGTGCACATTTCATACTGATATATTAATAACAAATTTGAAGTTTCTGAACCATAAGCTTTTAATTTAATTTGAACATTAATTTGTACAGATCTGTACTGAGTTGTCAGTTAATAAAATCTGTTATTTAATTACTTTATCTCATAAATCTTGCATTTATTTCATTTTAGTTCACTTAATAACTTAAATTGAAACAGGAAATTTGAAGCTGGGATACAGGACAGATTCATGGAGACGGAAATTTGTAAAGATAACTTTAACCAAGTGAGATAAAATAGAAATTAAGAGTGTTTTTGCGTCATGGACCTGTCTTGTGACGGAGCACTTTCTATTTTTATCAATATTTAATTATTTAATCACAAGTAGGTCATAAAATCAATAAGTATTCTTTCAGGCCCTTGTCGAGGTAACCTTAATAATTTTAATACAATTATTAATAATTGTACAATAAAATACAAACATTAATAATTCAAATATAAAAATAGATATTTTTTAATCTACGAGTACACCATTTTGCTTTCGGATAGTTGATTTCATATAATTAACTAGAACAATATGTAAAGATTAATTGTATTTGAATTAATATTATGCTGGATATAAATATTTAATTTATTAAATAGTTAGATATAATAGTTATTATGTTTTTAACAAAACGGGTTATATATATTTTTATTTATATAAAATTATTATTTATCATTATTATTTTTTGTGTAGGGATTTCTTACCCAGAGGTTCTGGAATCGTAACCAGGCGGCCTTTGATTCTCCAACTCATAAATTCTAATACAGGTTAGTATTGATGATATATTAAAATTCAGTAAAATATTTGATTTATTTGATTTTCTATTCAACATGCTTTAAATTTCATTTTAGAATTTGCGGAATTTTTGCATTGCAAAGGCAAAAAGTTCGTAGACTTCAATGAAGTCAGATTAGAAATTGAAGCTGAAACTGATAGGGTCACTGGGGGCAATAAAGGCATATCCAATGTTCCTATAAATCTTCGAGTTTATTCACCAAATGGTATGTATAATATTTAATTAGCAATAAGTTAAAATAAAATACTATATAGGTATAATTTAAGTATAAAAATATTTGTTCGTGATATTTTTGTAAAATTAATATTAGATTTGTCGGCACAATTTGATAGAGTTCTATCTCCTTATTACAAATGTGCTTTTAGTGCAGAAAATGGAGAGGAAAAAAAGGTATAACCTCTGAATTTTTTTTACTGTGCTCCAATTTGAATGAAATTTTGGAAATGGGCTAATCTTACCCTTAAGTTCAAAAGTGAAAACAATTTGCACTCTGCCACTATCCTGTTTCTCGCCAAGATCCCTTTATGTATAAATTGACATTGAGCCATTTTATGGCTTGAAAACGTTTTTAATATTAAATGGTAAAATTGTAAAATATTTTTTGAAACGAATTTTTAGTAGCCAGTACCTTGAAAAGTATTTGTTATATTGAAAAACTTTATAAAACATCTTTTTTTTATAATAAGTTCTCCTATCGATATCGATGTTATTTTGAAAAAGTAAAATTACACTTCAGAGAAAGAGTGTTATCCCCCCGGGGGTGGCGGCGGAGTCCAAATTGGTTTCACTTTTAAAGTTGAGGGTAAGATGAACCTAATTCAAAATTTCATGCAAATCGGAGCACAGTAAAAAAAATTCAGACTCAAAATGCTCTATTGACTGGAGTATTTATTTTGATAATAACGATATATTTAAAGAAATAAGATACTGTTTTAAATATCTTATTCTGCAACTTTTTACTACTATTTTTGTGTCTTGCTCTTGGTTATTTTTCATTTTTTACAACGATTTGTATATTGATCATAACAGGAAAATAGGAACCAAAATAATAAGACATAGGTCCTACAATATTTGTTTGTGAAACGCCATGCATATTAATGGGTTGCCATACATATTTATGGGTTTGCGGGTTGATTTATGAATATATAAATGAAAAAGTTTATTCTCATGAGATTCCATTATCATTTGTTGCAATACAAACGAGTCATGTATAGAAAAAAATCTTGCGTATAATTATATTATAATATAGATATATTTTGCTATTAATTTTGACTTATTTAATTTCAGTGTTGAATTTGACCCTTATTGATTTGCCTGGTTTGACCAAAGTTCCAATTGGCGACCAGCCTCCAGATATAGAAAATCAAATCAAAGCAATGATCTTCCAGTTTATTAAACGCGAGTCATGCCTTATATTGGCTGTGACTCCAGCTAATACAGATTTGGCTAATTCAGATGCCCTGAAATTGGCAAAGGAAGTGGATCCTCAAGGTAAAAGATTGTTTTTTTTAATTTCATAAAATCAAATTTTGCGAAGTTTGCTTTTGTTTGCGGATGATACAATCGTCGTACAGAACTTTGCGATTTTTATGTCACAATATTTCTATGTAACCAAAAGATAATTGTATCTAGCCATGGTTTCGTATTTAACCATTTTCCGACGTAATAATAAAAGATAAGTGTACATATTTAGATATGCTTTTTTACATCCTAATTTTTTGACGTAATGCATCGATAAAAATAATTATAGATAAACATGGTAAAACCTGGTAGAAGAATCGAAAGAGTACAAGTAACTAGAATTTGGATTCAGTAAAATCAAATTTCCAGTTTTACAAAACTACAATAAAAATTTAACTTCACGGCTTTTATACAATGCTATATAATATTTATATGTATCTTTTGTATCTTTTCTAATTTTCTAACAATTGTTTATATATATCAACTTGTCTTTCGTATAATGAGATTTTCCGTCTTATTAATCGATATCAATTCAATTTTTAATAATTCACTATTTTAAGTAAATTATAAACGAATTATATTAGATAATTTAATTAGAACTCTTTAGATTATTTATTTTCTTCATACATTTCCCAAAAACATGCATATAAATAAAATGGGTTAAAGTTAAAGATATATCGTGGAAAGTTATGTTTTATTTTTTAGCAGTATTATGAATAATTGTACATAATTTGATTCTAAACCAGTTTAATATCTATCTCATTTATATTAGTCATATTGGAATTTTAAAAAATATTTACACTTTTGTCGCTCCCAGATCTGTTTCTCAATTTGTATAGGGATTTTAGAGCGGGTGTAAATTAGACAATTCGGAAATTAGAGACGTCAAATATTTTTTTATCCTAAGTGAGTTGTTTATGAACTACGAAAAGATATGGGAGATCTAAATAAATATTTTTCTAATATAAATAATTGAAGGAATTTATAAATATTTTCCATTATATAATCTATTTACAGATTTGTAAAAATAAACATGGTTTGTTTATATTCATTATCAGAATCGCATGTTTTGTAAAAATAAATATTTCCATTGAATAAGCAACTAAACGAAACGATTAAATTTTATAAATTTTTGCCGTACATAATCACTTTAGATTTATGAAAATATTCCAGATTTGTTTATAAACAATGCGAGAATTGAGACGTATGTTTTCCACGACACGCAATAAATCAGTGATTAAACGAATAATAATATTAAGCTATAATTTTTCTAATTATCTGGAATCTAATATGATTCAGAAAGATATCATTGCAACTGGGAAAACTGTAAATTTTTTATGAATTTTTCATAATTTTTTCAACTTATGCGTTTATTTATTTATTGCTGTGGTCTAGTAGTTTCAAGTTCGGTGCCCACCTCAGACATACTGAAGTCAAGCAGCAGTGACATCGGTTTTCATTTCAAAATATAGATAGCAATATGTATACAAGAGCAAAAAGGTTTTAACCCTCCATTGATGCACCAATAATAAAATTCATCAGTATTACATGAATTGTAATAGTAAATTCATTACATAGACATAGGACAACTAATAGGGTTGCCATCAAGAAAAACCCACGTGGTTTAAGAAGTCAATACAATAACCTCTAAGACTAATTAAGTTCTGACTAATCTGTTTGCTAACTCCTTCTGCGAAATTATTGCAAAACATAATGGTTTATCAAATCTAATTATAATAATTTTCTTTATATAAACTCGTTTAACGATCATAATTTCTACAATAACAACAAAAATTGTTATTCTTACAGTTTGTGTTGATTGTTATATGAATAATTCGTGCTCGATAATTATGATTCAACTCATAGATTTCCAAAATTGTTATTATTTATGATATCATTAATTGAGAATTTCAAATTTCAGTTTAGTTATCAAATCTTAATCTTTAATATTAGTTTATAGATGAAGAAAACAGTAATATGCTTTAATACAAATAAAACGTACTAGATATTATTGAAATTCTACAAGAAAAACTGTTTATTTTTCAGGTATTAGAACAATAGGTGTAATAACAAAATTAGATTTGATGGACGAAGGTACAGATGCACGTGATATCCTGGAAAATAAACTTTTGCCGTTAAGGCGAGGCTATATTGGTGTAGTCAATAGATCTCAGAAGGATATCGACGGCAGAAAAGACATAAATGCTGCTTTGGCAGCTGAAAGAAAATTCTTCTTAAGGTAAAATAGACATAAAATTATTTATCTTAAACCTACTAATTTTATTTTTTCTCGACGTTTAAAATTATTCTTAATAGCTTGAAACGAAATTTCAAAAAATGTGTGTGTGACGTTTTCCTAAAAACGGTTGAACCGATGTCAAAAATTTAAAAGTCATTATTTGAAACTCTATGTAAATTTTGGTAGTTAGTTTTGCATGGCCGATCGATCGGCCAAGATTTTCTTTATAAATCAGTGGTAAATTTCATCGTAATTAAATTTCCTTTGGCCTTTTAATGAAAATTACAATGACAATAGATTGGCATCTATATACAAATGGATATCCTAATCCTGCGAAAAGTGGTTGAATTATAAAAATTGTGAGTATGGATAAGTCACTTGTATTTCTGTACTTTAATTAAAAATCGCATTGATGAATTTTGAGTGATAGCGAAAACTTAGTTTTCAAAATAAATAGTTGAAAATTTTATCTAAACAGCTAATTATCAATTCTTATTGATTAAGTCGATTATTTCCACATATCTGGAAATTCATGCAACTTACCTTAGAGGTTATATTCACTTAATCGGCCGAAAAAAGTCATTTTTCTAGAATTTTTCCTGTGAGAACTATTGAATCATTGAATGTATCGATACAAAAATCTATACACAAAAAAGGCATCTTTTAGCTATATTTAAAAAATAATTTCAGGTAAAAATATCTATTAAAAAAAAGTAACAGCAGCAGATCTGCGGGAGCATCTCTCGAAAAACACGTTTTGCAGTGACCACTGTCTTTGAAAAAAAATCATCCGAAATTAAAAAACCAAAAAGATTTCAATAAAATATGATAAATCTAGTATTTAATCCAAGCAATAAGCAAAATAATAAAAATCGTTTTTTTTGCCGTAATTTTGACCTTAAATTGCTCATAAAAACCAAAATATTTATCGGATAGGAAAAATCTTCGATTAATCACTAAAAAATATATTTAAGAGAGGTTGTTATGAAATTTGAGTCTAATCGGATTAGCCGTTTTTGAGTTATGTTGGTCACCGATTTTGAAATGTATATTAGTGAAGTCTCAGCCGTGTTTTCCTTTTCAAATTTGCGAGTAACTTTCAAAATATTCATCAGAATGATATTATTTTTCTTGTGTGTATTATTAAATATATGTACATTGAGAGAATACTAAAAAAAATTAGATAATCCTAAGTGTATATAACCCCTTAAGGTAAAATGCCATTTACACCCTCATATTTAAAATTCAAAATCATAAAACGCAATTAAAATAGTATATAAAAACTACGCCCATTTACGAATATATTATACAATTAATCAAATAACTTGGCAAAGTCGAAGCTAAGTAAATCTGTAACTCCATAATATATATAAACTGGAATTTACTGATTTTTTTTACTTGGCTACTTAATACTGTTGTATGCATTTTTTGTACTAAAAACAAAGATTTTAATGAAACAATATTAATATATATATATTCGCTAATTTTGTTTTCTCGACGTTTCATGCCATTCTGAATCAAATGAGACCAATTTTTTTATTTATTATTTTACTGTTTATTTCAGTCATCCAGGTTATAGACACATAGCTGATAGGTTAGGCACTCCATATCTACAGCGGGTTCTGAATCAGCAACTTACAAATCATATTCGAGATACACTGCCTGGTTTGCGGGATAAATTACAAAAACAACTCTTGGCTCTTGAAAAAGATGTGGACCAATATAAGCATTTTAGGCCAGATGATCCTAGCATTAAAACCAAAGCTATGTTACAGTGAGTACAACTTTCTTTTAAAAATATAATTTATTTATAAACTACTCTCAAGATTTTTGTTATATTAGCAAAACTTTACATAATCATTACTATTTTCAGGATGGTTCAACAATTAACATCAGACTTTGAAAGAACGATAGAGGGTTCAGGTTCAGCTCAAATAAACACAATGGAATTGTCAGGAGGAGCTAAAATAAATCGATTGTTTCATGAACGATTTCCTTTTGAAATTGTCAAAATGGAATTCGACGAGAAAGAGTTGAGGAGGGAGATTGCATTTGCCATTAGAAATATTCATGGTATCAGAGTGAGTGTTAAAAATTCTTATAACGTTTTCCCAGTTCTGATTATTGCATAAAACTTTATAATTTTGTAATGACTGATATATTAGGTCGGTTTGTTCACGCCGGACATGGCTTTTGAGGCAATAGTGAAGAAACAAATTGCACGGTTAAAAGAACCTTGCTTGAAATGTATTGATTTAGTAGTGCAGGAATTATCAAATGTTGTCAGAATTTGCACAGATAGGGTAAGTATTATTTGTTATCATGAAAATATTGGTTTCGCATCAGTTGTTTTGCATCAGTTGTTTTCAAAACCCAAGAAATAAACTTTTCTTATAAAAAAACAAACAAAATTACAGTAATAAGAAATCTTATCTTCTATATATTCAAGAAATTTGTTAATTTTTTTTATTAAGCTATGAATTCAGCAATTGATGACCTTTATTGCATCTTAAATATTAAAGTATTTATTGATTTAGTAATTTTCAGTTTATATAAAACCTATTTCTTCCCATAGATGTCACGATATCCTCGTTTGCGAGAAGAAACAGAACGCATTATAACAACCCATGTCAGGCAGAGGGAACAAATGTGCAAAGAGCAAATCATATTGTTAATAGATTGTGAATTAGCTTATATGAATACAAATCATGAAGATTTTATTGGCTTTGCAAAGTGAGTAATTTAAATTTATTTTATTTTATACAATTTGATACGAAATTATTATTTTTTTTTTTAAATGCAATTTTTTTACTAAGGCATAAAAATGATCACTATCATGCTTTTTTAAAACAAGCATATGATTTATTTTCATTTTTAATTTGAACTTCTAATATATACCATAATTATTGAAAATGAATATTTTCACAAAAACTGTAAACAAAAGTTGAACATTTATATTTTATAATAGGGGAAGTAGGAACAAAATTGCATATGTTTATTTATTTAATGATATTTTAATCAGTCTCAATCACAATTTACCATCTTAGATTGATTGACTATCAGTAACATAGACTTTTAATTAAGTAGGGACTATAATGACAAATTTATTAAGAACAAATGCAACTAATTACCAACAATTTTTTTTTTGTTTAGTATGGTCAACGTGACTTATAACGTAAGGATATATTGAGATGGTAATTTTTAAGGAGTTCACGCAAGTTTTGTTCGTATTTTTAATAAGTTGCCTAAGATATATAGGATTATTCTAAAATGCGAAAAGAAGTAGCAAATTCTATTCTTTTTTTAAACTAAAATCTTATGCCAAATTTAATTGTATTTTATAATTTTTTTTTTAATAACATATTATAAATTTAAAAAGATGTTAACGCATGAGTTTTTTTAAAATTTATTACCAGTAAAAATTATAGTATGAAATAAGATCTGGTCCTATCAATCCTTTTCATTTAATTGTGATGACTAATGTATTATGTTATTTAGTTAGTAAAGTTGGTTTGCCAAAAATGATAAATTTTAATTTACTTACCAATAAAAATACTATTAACTTTTTTCAATAAAAATTTTTTTTGTTGCAGCGCTCAAAATCAGTCTGAAAACGCCGCAAAATCAGGCACAACGAGAGGTGGGCTAGGAAATCAAGTAATTCGCAAGGGTTTCATGTGTATACACAATTTAGGAATAATGAAAGGTCAGTGAATTCCGCTTCTGTTTTATGTATTAAGTTTAATAATTAAAACAACTGATTTATTTCTTTTAGGTGGTTCACGAGATTATTGGTTTGTTCTAACTTCTGAGAATGTATCTTGGTATAAAGATGAAGAAGAGCGTGAGAAGAAATATATGTTAAGTTTAGATGGATTAAAATTGAGGGATATTGAACAGGGATTTATGTCACGTAGACATATGTTTGCTCTATTCAATCCTGATGGCAGAAATGTATATAAGGTAAATATTTTATTGCTAACTACAGATATAATTATAAATTCATATAATGTTAATTTTAAGTTCCCGAAGAAGAAGTTTGTTTTCGCGATAAATTCCATTTGCTAAGATTGTGTTTTCTTAAAGTTTCAACTTATTCTAAATTGAATGAGATCAAAGGCTATGGGCGCATTGTCATACAGAATCGGCCCCACCCTGGTATTTAAATAATTTATACGCCATTTTATAGGTCTAAATGGTAAAAACAGATATACCAATTTTCAACTTTGTACCTCATCTTATGGCCGAGATATCATTGAAAATATGCCAAAGTGGCCCCTTCTTTCAAACTCACTTTTTCGCGTAACCATAAAAGATATCGAAAAAATTTTTACGTGATTCTACTCACATTGACTCAGACCACATTATGTAGAACAATCGATTCCAAAAAATCGTTTACTATTAGCTGAAAAAGACAAAATAATTTTTCAATTGATTATTTCGGGTAGTGCATTTATTTGGACCACTTTCTAATTAGCGTTATTCGAAAGCCCATTGTTTTTTCTTTGAGTACTGCAAATATTGTTAAAATCAATTTGGTGGAACACACTGGAAAATTGAAAAAACCGCAGCCAGTACACCCGCGCATAACGCTAATAGTACCCTGCAATTGCATAGAGTTCGTTCGGACGCAAAGCAGTGCGCGAAGCGCCCGAAACGATTCTTCAGAAATTCTGAATGCAAAAATATTTATTTTATAGTTATATGTATAAACTCACGGAGTTTGAAATTTTTAGACATTATTAGTTGTACTATATTAAATAAATGCCTAAAACTAGTGGTGTATCGTGCCTTAAGGCAAATTGCTGGAACTTCCCGCGTTGTAATGAAATATTCGAAAAATTATTGAATGCTTTCAAATATATTATTATAAATACTGTAACTTTTATTATTGGAATTTGTAGACAAAATAAAAATGCTTATAAATTGGACGATGACATTTAAATATGTTTGCCTAAAAAGTATTTCTAAGAATTGCATAAACTGAATGGCAAAGTTAAAATTATTTATTCGATTCGAATTATTTTTCATATTAAAAAAAGAAAATTAACAAAAAAAAAATTTATTTTTGTTTTTTTTTTGAAAAACAATCTTGTCGTCCGAAAAAGCAACAGCTTATTTGAATCATTTAAATCGGATTTTTCGTTTCTTTAAAAACTCGGTTTCTATCTTTGCTCTGTATCTCCGACCTGTCTTTATGAAAAACTAATCAGTACGTCTCTCCATCAATAGGAATCGAATGTTCTTTGAATTATTCAAGAAATCGTGAACGAAAAATTTTATCTCATTCATACACGAAATATAACACAAATACACAGACACACATATCCATTTTTTCTATTGTATTTCAAAATGTTCAGAAACCTTCGAAACGTGAAGATGTGCAAACATTTTTGATTGCGATTTTTTATTTACAATAACTTACCCTACGGAAAGTTAAAAATACACACTGAAATTAAATGCATTATATTATAAGTACTATAATCACTATATTATAAGTAGATGCGAATTAGCTAATACAAAATTAGTTAAAAAACACGATCTTTCGCATAAACCACACAGAAAATACAAATATTATATAAATAATATAATTTTCGAAATAATTTGATTAATACATATATTTTATATACTTTCAGTAATAATTTTTGTAAATTACTGAAGTACTATATAAAAAAACTTCTACATTAAATGACGAATATTTTATAAGAACTTTAAATAATAAAAACGCAAAAAAATTGTGATAGCCATTTATCATATTCTTTTTAGTATTGTAGTACTGATAAAGATTGGTCGCAATAAGGGTTTTATTTTCACAATGTTACAACTATCATTCAAAAAAAAGTTTCTTGGATTTGTTGAAACTACAATGTTTCATATTATCATTACTTTATATTTATACATATGACTATAAAATAAATATTTTTGCATTCAGAATTTCTGAAGAATCGTTTCGGGCGCTTCGCGCACTGCTTTGCGTCCGAACGAACTCTATGCAATTGCAGGGTACTATTAGCGTTATGCGCGGGTGTACTGGCTGCGGTTTTTTCAATTTTCCAGTGTGTTCCACCAAATTGATTTTAACAATATTTGCAGTACTCAAAGAAAAAACAATGGGCTTTCGAATAACGCTAATTAGAAAGTGGTCCAAATAAATGCACTACCCGAAATAATCAATTGAAAAATTATTTTGTCTTTTTCAGCTAATAGTAAACGATTTTTTGGAATCGATTGTTCTACATAATGTGGTCTGAGTCAATGTGAGTAGAATCACGTAAAAATTTTTTCGATATCTTTTATGGTTACGCGAAAAAGTGAGTTTGACCACTTTGGCATATTTTCAATGATATCTCGGCCATAAGATGAGGTACAAAGTTGAAAATTGGTATATCTGTTTTTACCATTTAAACCTATAAAATGGCGTATAAATTATTTAAATACCAGGGTGGGGCCGATTCTGTATGGCAATGCGCCCATAGCCTTTGGAAGAAATATATATGTATGTATGTGGGTATGGCTGATTTTTTACCTTTTGTAGACGCTTTTTCAAAAATTGAATTCTAAATGTTTAAATTAATGTTTGGGAGTCATCAATTGGAAATCACATTGATTTTGCCAGCAAAATGCTACTTATAACTATAATTTTGTAAATGTCCCAATGTGAAGTTTGAATTTTTTCTTTTGTGACGGAATAGGTTTATAATCTACTTATATATAAAAATGGAGCTCGATCAAATGTTAGGTATAAAAGTCGGCCAATCTTAGTCTTGAAATACTCGTGCAAATCTAAAGGTTGTGCAAAAGGTGACAAATTGCTTCAAAATCGCATAGAAACTTTACATTTTTTAAGTTAAAATTTTTTGTCGAATCGTTTTGATAGATGATAATTATATTTAATAGGAAGTTTTATATGAATATTATTTGATTGTAGTAAGTAGTTTTGTTTGCTATTTTATTTATACACAAAAACGTTATTAAACGGGTTGCAAGTGTTATTAGAAACTCAAAATATCAACTTTTTTAAAATGTTAATATAAAAATGCACTTTTTGGCGTTATAGCATTCTTTTTTGCAAATCATATTTTTTTAAAACTCGGCGCTCTGGAAGAACTCGTTGGTTAAATTTTATACTCATTGGTATTTATAAAACATTTTGTAGATTATTTTTTTATTTATGTTTTTAAAAAAAAAAACGAAATATGGATTCGATCAAAGGGGGCATTTTGTCGAATAATTTATTACCAGTTATAAGGGATTGTTCAAGTATTACGTAAGCAGATTTATTACAATTATTTACCCCCCATCCCCCTTGTCAGCAAAAGTAAGCAAAGCTCTTACCCCCATGCTTACGTAAACATTTTGCAATTAATGTAAAAAAATAAAAATACTACCTATGACGTAATCATCATCCAGACTCTCCAGTCCCCCCATGTCAACCCAAAATAAGCAAATCAACAACCCCCCGCCCCCCTATAGTGCTTACGTAATACTTGAACGGCCCCTAACAGATGACAATTTAAATAAGAAAATTTGGTGGTTGACAATATATAACTTTGGAACACACACATGCAAAAATGTCATTGCACAAAAATACAAGTTTTCTGGAATCAAATATTTTGAAAATTGATTAGTAAGCACGCATTCTATAAAATGTGTCAACAGTTCCAGTATTAGAACGAGTTTAGTAGAAAAATGACAAGAGTCATACAATTTTGAAGAAATTCTTTCAAAACCATATGTCAAAGCTATGCATTTTAGACACAGTCAGGCATGGTTTATGTTTCATTAAATTACTCTACAAATTGAAAAAGATAAAAATTGTTTAGAAATACCTTACTTAGCAAAACAACGTTTGCCGGGTCAGCTAGTGTAATATAATAATATAATTTGTAATTACACATTGTTAATAATGATTTATCTCTAACGTAAAACTATATGAATAGTAACAATAATTTATAACAAAAAATGTACACATTATACATTGTTCATATATATTTATATATAGATACATTATAATATTATACTTATTTCGAAGGATTATAAACAATTGGAATTGTCTTGTGAAAATCAAGATGATGTTGATTCATGGAAAGCATCTTTCCTTCGAGCTGGTGTCTATCCCGAGAAGGCAACAGAGCAAGCTAATGGAGATGATGTAAGATTAAATTTATATTATATTTATAAAAGTTATATAAAGTAAATTAGAATTATGCGGTGCCTGGATTACTAGTAAAGCTTTTAATTGTTTAATATTAAATAACATTGCATAAGTTGAGCATATTATTTCTCCATTTACTAGACAAACTTTTCAAGAATGAATCAATGATCGACTGGCTTCTAATTTTTATTACTAGAAAATTACAAATCAATATGAATTAGGTCAATAATTTTGATGCTTTTGAAATAAGTTTGGTCATTTTTGCCATAATTTGATTTGAATTAAAAATATAGGTCTTTTAATAATATAATAAATAAAACAATTCATTTATGGATATATATTTATGAACTATTGTTTCATTTTCAGATTAATGATGATTCGGTAGTATATATATATTAAGTTTATTTCTTGGGTTTGGATTTGCTAATGTTTGAAAAATTTTGACATTAAAAGAACTTGTAGAATAAACAATTTAAACTTTAATTGCTATTTTCATAAGCATCTGATTTGGCAATATGCATATTATTAGAGTTTCCATCATGTTATTATGATGCTGTGAATATTGTTTTTTATACAGTTCTTTTTATGATCATAAAGAAATGAAGAATACTAATTGTTTGATTGTTGATAATTTATTTTGCCCTCTTCTAAATAACTTTAATCAATTTTAAATAATTATGCATTGCTTTTTTATTTTTTTCTAAAATATATGACAAAATGTAACTTCTGTTTTTCTGCTCTTCTTTCTGTTGTCTTGCCAGGGTGAAGGATATGAGGTTTGTTAATAGATACTTCCACATGCTATTCAAAATTTTTCTGTTTTTATGAAAAAGAAAAACAGTTACACAGTTTTTTATGTTAAAATTGGCACATTTAGTACACTATATGTTTTTTTAATAATCTCGTTAGCATAAATGTTTTGCACTTAATGTATATCTAAAGTTCGTTTTTATTGATATTTATCTAAATATTAGTGAGTTCGTTTTGAGACAACAGACCCTAATTTAAATAACGTTTTCACAATTTGTTGATATAGAATTATTAGCGTATTGTGTGTGCGTGTGTTTCTGTGATAAAGTATGTGTTATAAACAAGCATGTTAATATTATTAAATATATTTAATCATTAATATTTTAGACATACTGATCTACTGATGTTTATTTAATTAAGTCATTTGCGCTTATATCCCTGAACTCAAAAGGTGCTTGTTCTTCTTGAATTTATTCTGATGTATGATTATTTTTTAATTTTCCAAAAATCCAACACTAGCAATAATATACCACAATCTGTTTTAGAAAATGTAAAGTTACAATAATTTTTATAGATTTGCTATAATGAATATTAGAAAAATTAGTTTAAAAATAATTATCTCATAAGGATTTCTGATTTTGTATTTCAATATCTAGAAAAAAATATTATATATTATTATCTAAAACGATCTTTCTGCATTCAGGTGCAATTTCGAAAAGTTCCTCATATGACTAGTATTTGATAATTTATTTATACTATTAAATATCATTAAATCAGCGATTATTAAATTAATTGTAATATGTAGTGCAGTAATTATGTAATTAAAAAACTGAAGTACTAAAGTACTTCTCATCAGTATGGCTTGACATTATATTTACAAATTGTAATGCTTTACATTTCTAACATATTTGTTTGATTTTCTTATTAGCAATTTTATTAATATTTTTATCTATCTTTATCTATTTTATTAATTTATTATTATCTATCAGAGCTCAGGTGACAGTGTGAATACCAGTAGCATGGACCCTCAACTGGAACGACAAGTTGAGACCATCAGGAGTCTTGTAGATTCTTATATGAGGATTGTGACAAAAACCACTAGAGATTTAGTTCCAAAAACTATTATGATGTTGATCATCAACAATTCTAAAGATTTCATCAATAGTGAACTGTTGGCACATCTATATGCCTCAGGAGACCAGGTATGTAATAATATTCACATTATTTAATTTGTGGATTGACCAATATAGATATTGAATATAATAAGAAAAATTAATATCAGCAGCAGTAAATAATAAATTTTTCTACATTTTATTACTGGAGTTACAAAGAATTAAAATTTGAACAAAACCTTATTTTCATGTTTGGTATGCTAAGTATTTATCAGTTTATTTACTGTTGCTCTTATGTAGCTAAATAACAAAATATTTATTTGTCTGAATTTTTTAATACAGTCACAATTGATGGAGGAAAGTCCTGAAGAAGCAATAAAACGAGAAGAAATGTTACGAATGTATCATGCCTGCAAGGAATCATTGAGGATCATAGGTTATTTGATATTATTAATAGATTATTTAAACAAAGTACAAAAGTACAAAAAAAAATCACCATTTAAATTAATTTATGAGGGTTATATACGTGTTCTGGACAATTTTTATTGACTTAGCTTAACTACTGAAAAACTCTTTTATGTAAATTATGATGTTTTTTATGGTTTTATTTAACTTAATACCTTCAATGAATAATATGGTGAAATAGGTATTTTTTTTTTATTCTCTATTAAAAATATGTCATTTTCAGGTGATGTATCTATGGCGACTGTGACGACGCCAGTTCCACCGCCGGTTAAAAATGATTGGCTGGCGGGGACATTAGAAAATAATCCTAGGTTATCACCTCCAAGTCCTGGAGGACCGAGACGAGCAGCTCCTGTATCAGCACAAGTAATAAAAAACATCATACCATACTATAAAATAATACAACAATCAAGTTGATATTCATCAACTTTATCTAAATCATCAACTATATCCAAATATTCATCAACTTTATCCTGTTTCTGATTCTAACTTTTTGAAGAAATCATTTTATTACTGATTTAATTCTAGTCTATATCGTTTGATACCAAAATTAGAAGTATATGTGCAAAATATGAATTTTAGAACCTAAAATTAGATGGCTATTTTTTGGATTGGATTTTTATGTATTTTTATATTTATATTATATATTATAATATTATACATTTACAGGGTTCACTTGGTGGAGCACCAGGCGGAGGTCGCGCACCACCGCCGGCACCAGCAAGTGGCAGACCTGCTCCAGCAGTGCCGAATCGCCCTGGAGGTGCAGCACCGCCTCCAGTTCCACAAGGACGCCCCGCTGGCGGACAAGCGCTTCCCGCTCCTCTGATACCATCGTGAGTACTGCACAATTTTTAATTTACAATTGTATTGGGCATGTATATGCAAATTCTAAGAAGTTGGATATATATATATATATATATATATATATATATATATATATATATTTTACCCATTTTTAATTTGTTTCATTTTTTATCATTCAAGTTGTACTGTCGATAATGCTTTATTATTGATATATTGAAATTTGAAGGCATAATTTGAAATTAAAACTTGTACTAATTCTTGTCTAATATACAGTCCTATAATTTATTTAAATAAATTAGTACACAAATTATTTGTTATTGAAAAAAATAAGAATCATATTTATAAATTATTAATATCATAACACTATTACTTGTGAAGTAAAATCAAATCCTAGTATTTGTACTAATTCTTGTTCAGTACATAGACTTATTTATTTCAATAAAAAATTACAACTTTTCCCATATCTTACTTTGAAAATTAATTTGTGATTTTAGATGGCATTTTGTATATCCCACTTCTTAGTAACCATATATGTATGCATCGAATATATATTTAAAGTTTATTTTTTTGTTCGTAATATATTTTATGCATTTGTTTCTTCTTCAATTTGCTTTTTTAATCTAGGTTTTACAATTTATTAACATTATATGAAACACTTTATTTGCTGTTCTCTAACAGTGACTGATTGCTATAAAAAATGATTTTTTCTTATTATATTTTATTCAATATTTTTTTATTTTGTTTTTGAATTTTGTTTGAAGCAAGGTTTGCAGCAATTTTTGTCTGTGTTATATTTTTTCCTTAAGTTTATGCTTTCTTGTTGGTTTGGTTGTTTGTTCGTTTTGTATGTTAAGCACTGCTATTATCTTATTTTTGCCCATTCAAGTTTTACATTTAAGATCTTCTTTAAAATCACTTTTTAATTACAATATTTTACCTATAATTTGTTTTAGACGCATATATTTCATCACATTATTTTTTACACAATTGGCTATGAAATTTTCAAATTCTGTTTTTGAGTTTTCCTTAATTTATTTGATTTTGTAAATATTAACCAGTTAACTGAGGATGCAATATAAATTTTACAAAATATAAATATTTTTAAGTTGCTTGTTTGGCATTTGTCGATTATTTTTCATTTGTCGTTGAAATAGATACATATTTCCTGATCAACATTAGTTTCAGATAACTGGTTAAAACAACATATTCCTCTTAAGACTTTCTTATATAATTGTACTATAAGGTTTTATGCACGATTGTAGAAATCAGAAAGAATTTTCTATGGAAATGTGATGGAATGTATTTTGTTTCCTTTACAGGAGGCGATAAATTATCAAAAACTAAAAATAAAATATATTTACAAAGAGAACATCATCAATTAATTAGTAATAACTAGAATGTTTGAAAAACAATTGCAAATATTGATAAAATGTTAAATTGCATTTCTCCTAAAAATTGTATGTATTAGGTATTAATAATTAAAGAGGTATATATATATATATCAAGATATATATATATATATATATATATATATATATTATACCACATTCCAATGTAACAAAAATTTCTTGTTAAAAGTATAACTGTTTATTAGTTTATAAACTAATTTATTAATGTATGAAAAAGATTTGCTGTCTACAATAATTTTTATTGGTTTAGAATCACGACAACATTGATGAATTTTTATATAAAATTTTAATATTCCAACATAAAATTTTATATAAATATGCAAGTAACAAACCAAAAAAAATTTCTGTTATATCTTGTCATATAAAAAAATATTTTTGGGGTCTTTGCGGATCCATCAGTTACTTCTCGAGCAGTAATCAGTAGTTTTTTTCATTGTTTAAAGAAATCCGTTTATTTATTTGTTCATATATAATGTTATAAACTATTTATTAAGATCTATATGAATTAGATTTGATATTTGCTGTATTTTGATTGCTTCACAAGAAAATCTAGATGAATTATATTAACTAACTGCCAATAAAACAATGAGATGGTACATACTCCCTGACCGATAAAATTTGAGAGCATCATAATGCTAGTATTAGTATTTTGAGATATACTTGCTAACATTAGCTTTGTGTAAAGTTATAGATATCATTTATATGCCAATTGTCCCCTAAAGTGAAAATAATAAATTCAAAATAAATATCTGTTATTTTCTGTCAGCAGTTTTTTCATATACGGGATATAAATAGCAGCGTTATTGCCTATTCAAGTCGAATATTTTTCAATGATTTTTATTTTTGATTTATTCTAAACCAGTAAAAATTCTTGCATACATCTTTCAAGTAATTAATGAAAATTGATGGTATATTTATGAAATGTTACCAAAGGCATAAGTTTAGTATTGCAAATCTTGCCTCTTAGATAGTAACAAAGTTGAGATATTTGTTGATTTAATTACTTATTAGCGGCTTTAACTAATTTAATTAAAACTGTAGCTAGTAGTATCGTTGTTAACACAAATATGCAAAAGTAAGATATCTATATGATCATTGCACTTGCTTAGGTGTGTGTGGTGTATTTAAAGATTTTAGAAAGTTGAATAGGTTATTAGCGCATCAAATTAAATTTATCTAAAAGTAAAATATTATATTTTAAGATTGTCGATACAAAATACAAATTTCACTGTTTAGGATAGTCGTCTTCTCTGTTAGGATTATCTCATTAGTGTTAGTGCTATATCAAGACGTTTTTCAGTCTAAGGTTTTCATCTTCAGGAAGATAATATTTCAATGTGTAGAGATTGGCAAAAGCAAAGCTTTTAACGATTTTATTCCTTATTGCTTTTTAAAGCGCTTATTTGTTTGACATTTATTTTATTATTTAAGTGAATCAATGGTATTATTTTTTATATTACTTTTACTATAATTTATACGGGGTTTGTGGTTGAAACTAAGGGAGAGCAATTAAAGTGTTTTTTTTTTTTGAAAATTGTGATTGGAACATGTAGAAGCTCAAAAATTGAAGTGTTTTTGTCAAACTAAAATCGTTTTTTTTTATTCTTTTCAAATTTTGTTTCTATATTTTTATTCTAAATTGGGTGAAATATTTGATTGATGAGGTGCGAGCTAAGTGGTGAAGATATAAAGATGTAAAGATACAAATGTAATGATAGTCCAAAACGAAAGCAATGGACTGAGAATGATGGTTTAATTTTGAATTAATTTTATGTAAATTATAGAAGAATCGACTAAAGTACCTTCTTGTTTAATCATGATCCAAATTGTGATTAAATTTAAAAAATTGATGTGATTTTGTCAAACTAAATCGGTGTCTTTTTTTAAACTTAATTAGATATTGAAATCGATGGGTTGAGAGTACTTTATTTTCATACTAATTTTATATATTTGTAAGTTCATTTAAGACATTACATTACTAGCTATGATTTATTCCTAGAAAAAAGTCGTTTTTTATCAAACCAATTTTATCCATTTGCTATTTCAATTTTGTTAGTGCATTTCGGTAACATATCGTATGCTTTTAAAATTGATATTTTTTACATAATAGCAAAGTTATTTAAATAGCAATGCATAGGTATGAATTAAATTCTTGCATGTCTTTTATTACAAAAATTACAAAAAAAATATTGTTTTAGCTTACCTTATCAATTAGACAAAATTAAAAATTATCAATGAGACAAAGTTATTTAAATTTAGATTATTTGCTGGTTATTTTTAAACTTGATAAATTCACACCAGTCTAAAAATTGTTTGAATAACAAACTACCGGCCCAATATGATAGTTTTCCGAAAAAAATCAGAATCGTAGGTCACATTATTTAATAACAACTTATATTAGCACTAATACTGCCAAAATTACGACGATTAAGACACCTGACAACGAGTGTATTTTAAAAGATTTTTTTATTAAAATCATTAATTGCGGTAATCATTATTTTTAAAAATTGCATGCAAGAACTTATTCAAAATAACACATCAGTTTTGCATATGCACCATATATGCCGGAAGGATCTATGAACTGTAAATTCGAAAAATATAAATATAAACATGTTTTAATATAATTTATTTTTTCATCGACAAGATCTAATTATTATAAAAGTATTAATAGCTTAATATTAAACTAATGTCTATTGTATAAAAAATCGTTGTATCGTATTTTCATGACAAAATTTTCAACCCAATTCTTACTATAAAAAAGCTTCTTAAATCAAATGACATATGTACCTAATTAATAATACTAATTATAATAAATCTAATTGTTTTAACGAATCTCAATGAAGATATTAAGTGGTAGTTTGTAGTTAAGGAGCAGTTTTGATTCTGATGAGTTGACGAAGTTTGTAATGAGTTTCGCCATTGGAATCAATATTTGTTACGAATTAGAAAGCAATTGAAGATTATATATAAGTACATATAAATGTATGAAATAAAATTGTATTTGCATATATTTATGTGCATATATAATGTTCTTGCAATAATGTGTATACACTCATGCATGAATTGCTATGCATATTTATCACGAGCAAATATGTGCGTATAAAGTTGTCCATACATAACGCATATTGTGTGTATATATGTATATATATATGTATATATATATATATATATATATATATATACATAATATATATATATATATATATATATATATATATATATATATACATTAGGTACGACCATTGAGGTACTAAATAATTCTTGTTCTTGGGTTTTTTTTTTCAAGAAACTATGCCAAAGAACCGCAGCTCGAAAGTGAATTTTAGGCCAGCGAAAATTTCAATATAGTTTTTCTTAAATATTGTTCTTGGGTGATGGATGGATTCAAAGCAAAAAATAAAATCACTAGCCGAATATGTTGTATGGGTTTTTTGTGTCAAAAAATCAATTTGTGACCTATATTTTTACAAATTATTACGACCAGAGTGCTTTCGTTTATTCTTTCGAATTTTTTCGCTTTTTCAAAGGGCATTTTGTCGAATATTCTACTTTACCAAATTTCTTTTGAATTATCTAGTGATCTGTGGATTGCTTACGATTTTCCTTAAATGAGCTAGAAT